CGAGACACCTACGGTGCATGGCCTCGCCCCTATAGCTGCTATGGTGCATGCCTGCACTGCAATAGCTGTTTGATTATCAGCATGAAGAGAGTCTGCTCAACACTAGCTTCCTGCAGTTGCACTTGCTCTTGAATACCTGCAGAAGTAGCAGCACTGCAGCACATACATGCAAGCAGCTCCAGCCCCTCCCATGCATGTAGATTGAAAGGTGTGGCATTCCATCATACTGGCATGATTGGCAGCAAGAAGACCATGTGAGAAAGAAGCTTCACTTTCTCTTTACTAATCAGCAATATATGATAAACTTGCTGACAAAAAAAGTTGCTGCCTTTGTATATTTGAGATAGTATAGGTACTTTAGTACCTATAACCCAGCAAGTTGTTGCTCTAGCGCTGCACAAACGAGTGACCTCAACAAATTCAAGTAAGTATAACTCTTCATCAAGTAAGATTTAGAGAAATCTGTTCATATTATTTGAAGGCCATGTTCTAATCTACTGAAAAATGCTACCAGCTATCTCTAAAGTGCCAACACAACGGAACTTGGCCCAACTGCTCGATTTTCTTACTTTGAAGCTTCTATACCTAGCACTTGTATTTGAGCAACACAAAACAGTTAAGAAAGACTTTTCCACGCCAAAAAGAAAGATCTAGGAGCTTGAAACATGCTGTGCTAAAGTTATTGTTTATTAAAAACAAATTTCAGTTGTACAGAATGAATGACAGACAGACAGACACAACAACTACCTATACCTCGCGTAGGCGAGGCCAAAAACTGCAGTTTATGCGTCTCATTGGTATATTTAGTTTATACATTAATGATCATCCTGTCCTTCAAGAAGATGAGAATATGAACTTCACCTTTGAACTAGCTCTCCTTGAGGCAGTTGCAGCTGGTAATAATGAAGCAGTAGAGTTTCTTCTTCAACTAGAAACTGTTAATATTGATCATACTAATGAAGAAGGCAAGACAGCACTAATGTTAGCTTGTGAAAGAGGACACGAGGACATTGTACACAGTTTACTGTCTGCTGGAGCTAATGTTAACATTCAGGACAATAAAGGATTGACTGCACTAATGATAGCAAGTGAACATAATCACATTTCAATCATTCACATGTTACTAAAAGCCAATGCCAATCCTCACCTGAAGACATCAGGTGGATCAAATGCTGTAATGATTGCTAGTTACTATGGTAACTATGAGGTGGTTGAACTATTAATTAGTAAAGGAGTTGATTATAAATATCAACGAGAAGATGGAGTGAGTGCTTTCATGTTGGCTTGTCAAAATGGCCACACTCAAATAGTTGAACTGTTGCTGAAGGAACAAGTTGATCCTAATGTTCAAAAGGAAGATGGTTCGAATGCTTTTATGCTGGCTTGTCGAAATGGTCACACTCAAGTAGTTGAACTATTGCTGAAGGAACAAGTTGATCCTAATGTTCAAAAAAACAGTGGGGGAAATGCTTTTATGCTGGCTTGTCAATATGGTTACACACAAATAGTTGAATTGTTGCTGAAGGAACAAGTTGATCCAAATGTTCAAGACAAAGATGGTTGGAATGCTTTTATGTTGGCTTGTAAAAATGGTCACACTCAAATAGTTGAACTGCTGCTGAAAGAACAAGTCATCAGCAATTTAAATATTTCCAACAAGGATAGTGTGCCTGCTTTAATGATTGCCTGCATTACAGAAACTGAGCATTTGGAAATAGTTGAAATATTAGTACAAGCTGGTGCTAATGTTAATATACAAGTGGAGTCATTAAGTATTCCTTTTATGAACGGAAGCACTCCATTAATGATGGCTAGTTATTGTGGTCACATGCAAACAGTTCAATTATTATTAGAAGCTGGTGCTGATCCTAATATACAAATAAATTCATCAAGTATTCCCATTATAAATGGATTTACTGCATTAATGATGGCTAGTAGCAGTGGTCACATGCAAACAGTTCAATTATTATTAAAAGCTGGTGCTGATCCTAGTAAGGCTACAATGACAGGAGAAACTGCTTTAAGAAATGCTGTGACATTTGCACATTATGAAATAGTTGATGAACTGATAAAAGCTGGTGCCAGTACTAATATTAGCATATTTAATCCTATCATTAACACCACTATGAACTGCACAATAACTCAATGCTGTGTTATGGTGATAGCAACGAAAAACACTCCTGTCAATGAAATAAATCAAATAATGCAAAAATCTGTGCAAGATAAATTTATAAATTCTGCCATAGACATGGGTTTACAACAAATAAAAGCACAAGAAGAAACAAAACACATTAAAATACTCCAGCTCTTACTGAAAGTTACACCGCAACCTGAAGATGATCCTTATAGTTTAATAGCAGCAACTGCAGCAGGTTGTACGCCAGCAGTTGAACTGTTACTAAAAGCTGGATATGATCCATTAGCTCTTTGTTCTTCAAGCGGACTTTACAATAATACATTAAAAAGTACTCCTGTTAGACTTACTGGTGGTGACTGTAACACATTGACAATAGCATGTCAGCAGGGACATATTGACATAGTTAAATTAATACTGCAAAGATCAGTTGATCTCAATGCTACACAAGATAATGTCCTCACACCTCTAATGGCAGCATGTACTGCAAAAGAAGATAATTTAGAAATAGTTCGATTACTATTGGAAGCTGGTGCTGATCCTAATGTTAAATTTTAATCATCAGAGAAATCACGGAGGAGCAGGGACACTGCATTGACAATGGCTTTAATTTCTAATAAAACACGGCAACTGATTCAATTATTACTAGAAAAAGGTGCAGATCCAAATGTACAATCAGAATCACACAATCCATCGTTGAATGGAAGGACTCCATTAATGGTTGCCAGTAGTCATGTGTTATATCTGTTATCTCTGGGACTGGGAGTATTTGAGGCAGCTATACGGCAGGGTTCTTTGGCAGTTGAAGAGTTGTTATAATTACAATTGCATGAATAAAAAGTCGACAATGCGTTGTATATATAATAGTGATAACAATAACTACTAATAACTTAACACTTAATAATAACTATACACTTAATAATAACTATACAAATCATAATACAATACATTAACAATAACAACTACAATGATAATAACAATAATAATAATAACAATAATAGTAATTAGACATGATCAATGATTAATACATTACAATTCCTCCCTCCTTATTTTGAGGTAGGAACATACCTATTAATAGGGGGTCTAGTCCTTGTAGAGTGACGAGTTTCTCGTACTCCATCTGTTTGACCAGTATCGACTTGCTCTGGGGTTGCTTCCCTTGGAATCACTTCATTATCAGTTGAGTCCACTTCATCATTGATTGGGACTTCTTCATTATTTGGAGGATTATCATTACCAGAACCGTGACTGTCCAAATTCCAAGGCATTACTGAGGGGTCATACTCATCATCATTTCTTGAGACGGTTGTTCGTATGATGTGGTCGATATGTCGACGCCAAATCCTTTTGTCAT